AAAAAAAAAAAAAAAAAGAGAGAGAGAATCACCTAAGCCCAGGAGTTGGACGTTGCTGTGAGCAGTGTTACACCACAGTACTCTACCGAGGGCAACCAAGCAAGACTCTGTTTCTACAAAAAAAAAAAAAAGTGGAGCCTGAAGATATGACTGGACTGCTGTAATCTCAAGATAAAACCTGAACAGATGATGAGCTGCTTCTTATAGATGAACAAAGAAAGTGGCTTACTGAAATGGAATCCATTCCTGGTGACGACACTATGAACATTATTGAAATCACAACAAAGAATTTAGAAGAATCCATAAACTTAGTTGATAAAGCAGCAGCAGTGCTCAAAAGGGCTGACTCCAATTTTGAAAGAAGTTCTACTGGGGGTAAAATGATATCAAACAGTACCATATGCTATAGAGAAATCTTTCATGAAATCAAGATTGAACGTGGCAAACTTCACTGCTGATTTAAGAAACTGCCATAGTCACTCTTCAGCAACCACTACCCCGATTAGTCAGAGGCCAACAACATGAAGACAGACTCTCCACCAGCAAAAGGATTACAACTTGCTGAAGGCATTTTTTAAGCAATAAAGTATTTTTAAGTTAAGGTGTGTGTGTATATATATATATATATATTTAGACATATTGCTATGACATACTTAATAGACTATGCATAAACATAACTTTTATACACATTGGGAAACCAAAATATCTGTCTTGCTGTATTGCAATATTCACTTAAGTGTGATGGTCTGGAACAGAACTACAGTATCTCCAGGGTATGCCTGTACTAACCCCAGGGTATGCCTGTACTAACAACAGTCCTGAGCATTCCTGTTTTTTTTTCTTCTGTCCCATCTGCATTTTCTAAATTTTCTACCTTAAATATATATTGCATGTATGAATAGATGTGACTTCTCAAAAGTACCACAAACTCTAAGCCTGGTCACATTTAAAGACCTAATATTCACTTTATATTTAGTACATCTATACACAGTAAATACTTTACAGGCCCCACTCTATTCTAAACACTAGTAATAGAGCAGTGAATGGATAAAATCCCTACTTTTATGGAACTTACATTGTAAGAGTAGGAGCGAGACAAACAATAAAACATTAGAGCTTGTCGAGGAATTGCTAATTTCTATTAAAAAAATAATAATAAAGCAAGGAGCCTGGGCACTGTGGCTCATGCCTATAATCCTAACAGTTTGGGAGGCCAAGGCAGGAGGATTGCTTGAGACCAGGAGTTCAAGATCAGCTGAGCCAGAATGAGACTCCATCTCTACCAAGAAAAAGAAAGAAAGAAAAACTAGCTGGGTATGGTGGCAGGCACCTGCAGGCCCAGCCACTCTTAAGACTGAGGCAGGAGGATCACTTGAGCACAGGAGGTTGCAATGAGCTACAATGACACCACTGTACTTTGGCCTAGGCACCAAAGACCCTGTTTCCCCATTCTCTCTCACCCCCAAAAGAAGAAAGAAAAAGCAAGAAAAGGAGCTAAGCCATATGAACAGGGGCATAAGAGTAGAGCGTGGTCGTGGCAGGTCTTACGGAGATGACCTTCAAATTAAAAGGTGAAAGGAGTTGGGAAATGAACCATTTAATCATCAGGCAGCAGAAACAGCATGTGCAAAAGCCCTGCAGACGTGTGCCTGGGAGTCTGAAGCACAGAAAGAAGCCAGGGTGGGAAGCCAGCTAGGGAGAGAAGGGCAGGAATGGAGCAATGACGTGAAAGCAAGGGGGAAGGATAGTTAGCAGGAATTTGTAGACCACAGTAAGGACAAATTGGATCACTCTAATGGGAACCAATGAGGACTTCTGAGCAGAGAAATAACCATCTGACTTGCATCAGAACAGAATCACGGAGGCTGCTACGAGGAGAATGGACTTGGAGAGGGCAGAAACAGAAAAACCTGTGAGGAAACTATTTGGTAATGCAGACGAAAGATGAAGTAGCTTGGACCAAGACAGCAGAGGTGGAATTTATGACAAATGGTCAGATTCTTGATTTACTTTGAAGGCAGTACAGGTATTAACCAGACTTCTGATGAGCTAGACGAGAGGCATGAAGAAAAAGAAGGTAAGAAATTCTCCAAGGTGTTTGGCAATTCCATTCTTCTACTTAATCAAGCCATCAACAGACATAGCTAAGATTAAAGGAGGAGCAGGTTTGGGGGAACAGGGAGAAATCGGGGATGTCAGGCAATTGGACACAGACACACAGAGCTCAGAGGAATGACTTGTTAGCAGTATAAATTTGGCAGCTGTCAGCATATTACTTAAGTAATCAAAGTTCGTGTATTTATTTTAGAAACAATATGTGGTTATAAATACAGAAATGAAATACTGAGATTAAAGTTTGCCTGGCGGGAGCAATGTAATATAGCATGTCCCTGACATTTCTCAGAGAGTACTATGAGAACTACTGATCCTCCCACCCACGTCATGTTTCCCAAAAATAAAGACTACTACTCTAATAGGACACTTAATTCAAGGATATTTACACAAAGAAAAGTTTTACCATTTTAAGAGTTACTAAATAATACTGGATTTCATATGTTGTTTTTTTGTAATCTTGTAAATTTACTAAATTCCTTTATCAGTTCCAAGTTTTTCTTTTTTATTTCCTTGGAGGGTCCTAATATAAAATTTAAGATCATAAGAGTTACTGAACATGACCAGGCTTGGTGGCTAACACCTGTAATCCTACCATACAAGGAGGCTGAGCTCAGGGAGCAAGGTGGGTGGATCACTTGAGCTCAACAGTTTGAAACCAGCCTAAGTAAAGACCCCATCTCTACTAAAAATAGAAAAATGAGTTGAGCATTGTGGCGGGCACCTGTAATCCTAGCTACTTGGGAGGCTGAGACACAGACAGTGCTCAAGCCCAGGAGTTTGAGGTTTCCGTAAGCTATGATGATGCCATGGCACTCTACCCAGAGCGGCAGAGTGAGACTCTGTCTCAAAAAAAGGAAAAAAAAAAAAAAGAGTTACTGAACATAACATGACTACTTGGAAACAAAGCCACTTTGAAATGCTGGATGTCCAGCTAAGTCCTCTCACCAGCTAAGTGAACACACCATTCTTAGAGCTCACACAATTCAAATCCATGCCTCAGCAAAATTATAACTTACTACATCACAAAAATTCTGGGTCAATGAAGAAGAGTCTATACAGCCAGGGAAAGTCCTTGAATGCCAGTATCTATAATACATAACCAAAAATTTGAATTGAAATGATAAATGACAACAGACCCACAAGCTAGATCAAATAACTTTTAAATAAATTTTGTCCCTTCTTTGCTGGAGATATGATCAGGTCCAAATGGCAAACATCAACGAAGCACTGTTTTCTTTCCCTATTGCAGAGACTCTCCTTCACAAATTAGATAAAATTTATAATTCCAGGTATACTAAGAACAAGTTAAACAATGTTTAAAAAATGTAAATAGCCCATTATTTATATTAAGGGTTTAAAACCAAAAACAGCTTTTGGAGGTGTTTTGTTTTTTGAGGCCGCATCTCACTGTCACCCCAGCTAAAGTGTAATGGCATCATCATAGCTCACTGCAACCTCAAATTCCTGAGTTCATGTGATCCTCCTGCCTCAACCTCCCAAGTAGCGGGAAAACAGGCATGCATCACCATGCTCAGCTAATTTTTTTTCTATTTTCAGTAGAGATGGGATCTTGCTCTTGCTCAGCTGATCTTGAACTCCTGAGCTCAAGCAAGCTTCCCCAGAGTGCTAGGATAAAAGGCATTAAGCCACAACACCCAGCCAAGACCCAGTATCTGTCTGATAAGCACACCTCTTGAGAAGGGACACTGCAATCCAGGACAAAAAACTGGGGCGGGGTGGGGGATGCTGGATGAAACCATGAAAAGAGTTAAGGAAAAGTGATTGGAAAAAACTGAGGCAAGCTACAATATTCTTTTATACTTCAGAGTAATAAGATGCAAGGTTTAGAGTCCAGGCGTCCTCAAACTGCGGCCCGCCAGGTGTTTTTGCCACCGCTGCCTGTCCTGTTTAGCAGCCAACTCATCCTGGGGCCCACAGTCCAGCCCTCCAACGGTCTGAGGGACAGTGAACTGGCCCCCTGTTTTAAAAGTTTGAAGACCCCTGATTTAGACTATACCAGTAAAGAGTTGAAAGCCAGACCATTACCATCTCTTCTCCTTCAGTCCAACATAGCATTAGTTTTCCTTTAAGTCTGTATATACAGTAACTCAGTGATACTCCTATGTAACATTCTACACCACCATCCACACCAGCGATCAGTACAAAAGAAATAAAGTCAAATCCAAGACCTAACAGGCAAAGAACACGAAGTCTTTTGAAAAATCCAATGGATTCTAACTCCTTTTTTTGGCCTATCCAGTCTCTGATCTCACTAAATCCACCTAGAGTTTTATCCTGAAAAGAAAATCAGGGCAGCGCCTGTGGCTCAGTGGGTAGGGCACCAGCCCCATATACCGAGGGTGGCGGGTTCGAACCCCGCCCCGGCCAAACTGCAACAAAAAAAGCCAGGCATTGTGGTGGGCGCCTGTAGTCCCAGCTACATGGGAGGCTGAGGCAAGAGAATCATCTAAGCCAAGAGTTTGAGGTTGTTGTGAGCTGTGACACCATGGCACTCTACTGAGGGTGACAAAGTAAGACTCTATCTCTAAAAAAAAAAAAAAAAGAAAGAAAAGAAAATCAGCAAGTCTGACCATGGGGTCATAAGCCACTTACCAACTGGTCTGGATTAAGCTGCTCTCCACTTTTCAGGCGATCCTTGTAATCTTCCAGTTTGAGCTACAAAAGAGAAACTTGTATCTACCCACAGCCTGATATAAAATTTTGAAGCAAATAAACTTTGAAAACCAAGTTCTTGAAATAAAATATCAATCTGCAAGAATACTGGTTTACTAAAGGCAAGCAGCAATTGTACACGAGCTCCAGTGTGGCAGAGAATACACAGAACAACACGAGTTTGGAATTATAAAAGTTAAGCAGTAATAAGACCACTTTCTACTTACCTAGTTAATCATATCCCCTAACCCAGTAGTATGCAATCAGGGGTAATTATGTCCCCCGGGATATGTGGCAACATCTGGAGATATTTTTAGTTATCACAACTTGGGGGGGGGGCGGGTAAAGAGTGTCACCTGGCATCTGTGGGTAGGGGCCACGGATGCTACCAAACATCCCAATATGCACAGGGTGGCCCTTTCCAACAAACCATTCAGAACAAAACGTCAGCGGTGTCAAGGCTGAGAGGCCTGCTCTAACCTCATGTGCCAACTTTAGTTCAGCTACTTGTTGAATTATGTGGCATTTTCCCCAAAGGAAACTTCCTACCAGAAGTACAGAAATGTAAAAGATTTCTTTTCTAGCATTATAGTAACCTCAACTTAAAGCTACTTTTCACATTAAATTCTCCATTTAAGGAAATACAAAGAAAACAAATCACACATAATGGCCCCATAAGAATGACGCAAACCCACTATGGTATTCTAAAACCATTTCTTAGGCTCTGTTAAACTAGAGAGCTTAAGTATATACACGCGGAGTTCCTCCAACTAAGGAAGTCTCCTGCTTTGACTAGTTCTCGCAGTGGTAGGGAATTTGTGCCGACCCAGCACTCTCACCTTATCACACTTGTGGTCAACTATGTGCATTCAAAAGATAAATGGTGAGAGCTACAAAAAAAGCTACCAGCAAGTGGCACTTCTTCACTATTTTCCTAGCTTAAAAAAAGAGTAGACCAGACTCTTAAAAATATCTTCATACTCCTCCATCAAAAGCAACTTTCTTAAGGTCTCAGCACAAAATATTTAAGAGCACATAGGTCCAGGCAGTCACTCAACCTTACCTGTCAAACGCAGAAGAGAATCATAACACACGGAGCAATGTGCAGTACTGATTCACAGGCTCCATGACTCAGGAAATAAGGATGGACTGAGATCTCTGCATCAGCATTTACTGTACCATTAGGCTGATTATAACTTCTGGGTCTCGCTCCAAGGCTGTCTACAATACTTTCACTTACTAATCTTAAACCTTCACCTAGCAACACGAAAATTAGTGCAAAGACATTTTCTAGTTCTATCGTGACTCCAGCTTCCAACGACTGCAGCAGCTATACTGCAATATCAACTGCTGCAGAAAGTCACGAGGAAAACAAGCTTAAGAACGAGGCTATTAAAGCATCGATGGAAAGAAACAGTAATACCACACTCAAGGAAGTAATCTCACCGACAACAGCTGGCTCTTAGTATTTCAGTAGCAGCATGCAAAATTTTACTATGAAAAATAATTTTGATGAATGAAACAGAAAACATTTAATACTTCCAATATTTAGCCTGCTTAATTGTTTTCAGGCAGCTAAATTCCAAGGTTAAATTCTTAGGCGTAACATTGATGAACCCTAATGTCAGCTCCTTAATCCTTGCTTAAGATCATGCATACACAGGACTGAAAGAAAAAAAAAAGTTACCTTCTTTTTCTCAATGTTTCTAATTTTGTGTTTAAGGCATATGAGCCCATTATCAATATACGTCTCATATGCTTGGGATGGAGACGCAGCAGAAGTGAGAGCAGACTGCAGGGGGCTCAAGGCCCGCTGGCTTTCCCCGTGCTGAGCGTGGTTCACTTGGCACTTGGCCGACTTCATATTCCCCTCTCTTCCCTCTTCTGAACGGCCTGAAGGTGACTGGTAACCAAAAGGGGATGAAGAGAGTTGCACCATTGAAACAGACGAGGCTGAAGAGGGTGGAAAAGTTAAGTATAAAATTAGGACCACAGGGGCACAGCCAGGCATTAACTTCCCAGGAAAAGTCTAGATTCACTCCCTTAAAATTCTTTTCCACAGCAGTGAGCTTCAGATTCTGCACTCCCATCTCACTACTTTTAAGGTAACTAATGCCAAGCACTAGCCAATAAGGACAGCCTTTACGTAGGCAGAATCCACAATGTGGAAGATGTTTCCAGAAGTTCGATTTTCCCCATAGTCAGGAAGAACGGCTAATCAGCAATAGCTTCTGAGCTCCTCTCTCTTCCCAGGAGAGCAAACCACATTCTGAATAACTGCCCTGGACGAGGGATGACACCAAAGCAGGAGCTTTCCACATTGGGACCTTAAGGCAGCCACTCCAAACTCTTTACACGACCCCTCACCACCAGCCCCAACCTCCAATGAACGTGGAAAAGACAATCCCCAACAATTCTTTCATGGCCCTCACTAAGTGAACCAGCAGCTGCTACAACAGGAATGCTGACTTCCCTTTCACTGCTCAGGGGCCTGCGAGGCACCCATCAGTACTGAACTTCGGCAGCCGGGCTCTCTCAGGGTACAAGCACCCCGCGTTGGTTTCTGGCCGTCCTATTTAGACCAACCCATAACCACTCACATTCAATCGGTTTAAGGCTCATTCTAACGAGCCTCCCACTGTCTTTCATCAGCGGCCTTTGGGCACTGAGGTATCCATCCCACTCCCCTCAGGAGCATCCCCAAAGCAAGGGAATAAGAGGGTCCTCAGCCCGCCAGCGCTGATCCCCCATAGGCCCGCGCGGGGGGGACTTCTACAGACCGGTCACCCCACCCCACCCCACCCCTCACCCACCCTTCCACAGTCCTCAGGACCCTGGGGCCACTTCTGCAAGGCCCCCCGGGGAGGCCG